GGAAGTAAATGGCCATTTTTGGTGCAAAATGGAGTTAAGCTTGGATCTGGACTTATCACAAGGATATGGTTCCAGATCTGGACCTCTCAAGGTCCCCAATGGCATAAAGTTGCTCACTTTATGCAGCCTAGCCCCTTTCCATGCACAAAAACATTGTAAGAAACCTAGTTTTGAGGTTATGGCCTTGGAGGGTCTTGCATGTACGTAAAGTTTGCAACTTTACGTGGTATCTGCACTAAGGGAGTTTAGATCTGGAGTTTGGGACCATAGATCCCACTGAAAAGGGCTGAGCTTGGAATGGACTGAAGGAACTCGTCGAGTCCCTTAGTTGACTCGACGAGTCGGGGTAGGGTTTTCCGTTTTTGAGTTTTTGGATAAGTGCAGTGAAGGATTAGGGTTTTGGTACGTTTAGACATTAGTTTTCTGGACATATGATGAACTCGACGAGTCACTAGGGTGACTTGGTGAGCCGAGGCGGGATTCAGTGGAATGGACTCGGGAGGAACTCGACGAGTTACAAAGGTAACTCGGCGAGTTAATGAGTTAGGCAGCTAACTCGACGAGTTGTTGGATGCACTCAACGATTTGAGGTCAACAGGGACTGTTGACCTTGACTTTGACCAGGATTGACCAGGGTTGACTTTGAGAGTAATTATGGGATCATGACAAGTCAATCATTTAATGTTTATAGGCAGTTGAGTTGGAGCAGCACGTGAGACATATCTGATTCTAGTTTTCCAGCACAACATTTGTGAGAGGTGAGTCTTCTCATCATACCAATGGGTCTAAGGCACCAAGGCCGGCCCATTTTCTGATATGTGGTACACTAGCTGTATTAGAGATATGTAGTATGATAGTTAGCCTTATGCTAAGTTGTATGCTAGTAATTTTGTGATATTTGCATGAAAGACCATGGGGGAGCCCATGACACTTGGATATAAGACCATGTGGGGGAGCCCATGGCTATCCTGCAGGGAATGACCATGGGGGGAGCCCATGACACTTAGGTGTAAGACCATGTGGGGGAGCCCATGGCTTCCTTATGCAGGGATATATGGTAGAGATAGCTTTATGGCTAATATGATATGTTATGTGGTAGAGATAGCTTTTATAGCTAATATGATATGTTATGTGGTAGAGATAGTTTTTATAGCTAATATGATATGTGTTATGTGGCTTGTGTGTGGGGTATGCTCTGGGGGACTCACTAAGCATTAGCTTACAGTTTGTGGATTTGTTTCAGGTACATCTGAGCCCAAGGGCAAGGGCAAGGCTTGATGGCGCGACGTGCACTCTTTTACCAACATTTTATGGGACACTCTGATGTTTTTAAATAAAGTTGTAATGAATGTGGATTTGAAAACAATTGTTTTGGGATTTCATAGTTAATAGAAATGGTTTGATTAATTAAAAATGAAAATTTTCTTTTGAAAATTTGGGACGTTACATTTATGAACTATTATTCTTTCTTTCTATTGAATACATGTTCATTTGAACAAAATTTGGATTGATTGTACAACGCTCTTTCACTTTTAGGAGGATATGAGAGCGCCTTCAAAGAAAGTCATCAGGATATTTGTTGCTACAATTCCTCCCTCAGAAGATGATTTAGGAGGTAGAGTTTAATGATTTTATTCCACAAAAATTTATCCAACTGGAAAACAGTTAAGTTGTTTATTTATTTGCTTACAAATTATGTGGGCAGTTAGTCGGGTGTCTGACGGTAGCAGGTAAGTTGTTTTTTGCTATTTGTACACTCTGTCATGTAATCGATTACGCTTTATTTTTTGAAACATGATTATTGTTTCTGTTATGATTTTTAGGTTTTGAAGAATGGTCTTCAACATTTTTGTGACAGTTAACTTTAAACGAAAGTTACAAGCTGTATGAACTTCCATCGAGGTAACCAATTCTGTATAATTATTAGGCTATAATATACTTTAAATTTATAAGCATACACTTTTTGTTTTTTGATCAAATGGTGTTTATGATTTGATACTCTTCAAGGTCGACTACTTTAAGAAAAAATATATATTTGTAGATTTTTTTTTGATCGAGTCACAAGCAATTAGAAATGTGAGAGCAAAATATCATATTGGCATGTATTTATACATACAGAGAGTCACTGGGTTTGACTATGTAAAGTTGAAATTCAGCCAACAGATTTGGGGTTTGTGAATTTTATTATTTAAAACATTCTTTTGTAGTCATAGATTAAATTGTTTGACTTTGGTTTAGTGGATACAAGTCGATTAACAGTGGCACCCATTTTTTTCTTTTTCCACAACATTCAATGGATTTTAAAGTATTTTTAGTTTAACTTTTTTAGTTTATCTTCTTTTCTTTCTGCAGGTATTTGCTAAAGGAGTGGAGAAAGTAAGATGTTGTAAACTTATCAACAAAAGTACATTGCTATTTCATGCATTTAACCTATTTTGCTTGCTTTGTTTGTTTGTAATATTAGATGAGTAAGTGGATTTTACTGACCCATGCCAAATGAATAATTGTTGCACTTAAATAATTAACCTTCATTTTGCTGTGTGGTCAATTTTTTTCTATGTATTATCTTTTTTTTTCTATGTATTATCTTAAAAACTATTAAGTAAAGTCTCTATATTCACTCCAAATTATTATGTAATCATTTCTATCGATAACAAGCACGAAGTTGCCAAAATGATAGGAGTTGTCAAAATCCTTACCCCGCAAAGCGGGGTTCCTCATCTAGTTATATATTATTATATATCGTGTTGTTTTTTATAATTTATACTAGAAGGACAAAAGCCCAATGGACTAAAAGGCAAAACCCCAAAAGCCTTAATTTTTTGTAAAGAAGCCGATACTCAATTTTAAATTCGTTAAAGTCATATAGAAATTTAATTTTAAAATTTCTCCGACTATTAAAAACTGAACTGTGAAATCGAATTGAAATCTGATTACGCTTTAATATAGTTTGTACTATTTGAAATTAATCAGACAAGATAAATCAATCACAATGGTATATGATGTACCTTCTTGCAACCTCTTCCAAAAACATGTGGACACACTGTCCCAAACACAATATATATTTTATGCCTTTCCAATGGATGTCGGCTATATTCAAGCACAAAATCTATTATGGACTTCACAAGAGACTCATAGTAATTCATTAACCTTCCGATTCTTGTATATTTTCCATTACATTAAGAAACACTTTTAGGAGCCAAATTTTATTAATGGTGTAATATTATTTTTTTAGAAAACATTGGGAATCTTAAAAATGTAAAACATGGATACAACACAACATTAAAATGAGAATCTTTAAACATAAGCATCAGGATTTTTGAGGAGGTAAGCTTCCACAACCTTGTAAAGCCCTAAAACCTTTTCTTTGCCTGCCTTTAGTTCTTCTTCCTTGAGCTCAAAATCACCATGAGTGTAAATAGTTGTGGTCATTTTTGCAATGGTGCCATTATCAGGTGAACCCTCAAACTTAATATCATACGACACCTTTTCAATCTTGTCCGATATGCCCATACCTTCAATCAAACTATACTTATATGTGAATGTCTTTTCATCGACTTCATCTATTTGGTGCTTCACAAAACCTACATACAAGGATTAAATTGAAAACAATTTCTTTGACGATATTAATACATATTGGATGAAGTATAAGTTTACCTCCAGCAAAGTTAATTTGCTTAATGCTTCCGGCCCCACCATCACCTTTGATAAACTCGACACTTTTAATAGCATTGGGCAAGAGTTTTGGCATTAAAATGTGGGAGTCGATGATCGAGGCATTAAAAATTCTTGATGGAGAGATTGTGGAAGTGTGTTCATCGGTGTATGTTAAGACACCCATGATTTTTTAGGCAAAAAAGATGGTTAAGAAATGCTAATTTCGAGTGTTTTGGAGTAAGGAGATATTGTTTTAGGCTAAAAGATGGGTTGTCTTTATAAGGTGAAGCGAGTAGAGGGTTGAAGGTGTACTTGGTGCATTTGTGATTGGACATTTGCGTTGGCAATATCAACATTCTCTTAGTTGTCCATATTTGAAATGGGCTTAGGTGCAATGAAGCACATGAATAAAACAATTTTGAGTATAAGTTTCAACAATTTTTGTATTATTGTTAGATCCATTCTATTGCTTTTTACCTTATTTGAAATGGACTTAGGCCTTTAGGCGCAACCGTTCAAATACCATCAAGTATTTAACCCAAAAAAAAAAAAAAAAAAAAAAAAAAAAAAAAAAAAACACTAAAATCGACTTATCAATTTAAATTCTAATACAAAACGTTTCAGTATTTGATGAAGTGAATTATAACATTAGATCGTCCCGAAAATACATGTGTTTCCTTTTAATAGATTATCATCGACATTGATCGTTATAAAATGTTGGATAAGACTTGGTTATATTTCATAAGCTCTTTGTACTCTTTCTAATATTTTGGATACTTAATTGTTAGAAATACATGTCATGATTCATGAAAAAAATTACTATGTTTATCTTTATAAGAAATAATTTTCTATCAAGTTTGAAATCAAATAATTTCTTTACCAAACCAATGGCTAATCTTGTTGTGGGCTCAAGTCATGTTGTCATGCTGTGGATGTAAAATATAGACATGAGAGTTGAATAACAAGTGTCTTATAGTAAATCAAATCGATATTAACCAACTAAATCCATAGAATGTTACTACATAATCATTATACCAAATAAACTTCTTTTAAAAAAGTCTATGGTATTGCAATTAGATAAAAATATTAAATATTTGTCCAACTGTTGACGTGTAGTTTTACCAAAAGCGCAAAAAATACAACTAGACGAAATTACCCTTGAGGAGCAGCTTTCATGAAATTTCTCACACAGAATGAGGGTAATATTGTCCTTACAAGCCACCATTTGCAAGCGATGGGCATTTATTCACGGGAAAAAAACGACTTATCGATTTACGTATCCCGGTTCGTTTTAACCCGCTCTCTAGGACATTTCCTCTGTTCTTGAAACTCAACTCAAGAACATGAAGAAAGCATATGATGCAGCGGCGAAGACGACGACTTATCCCATTATGTTTCCTGTTATTTTATTTGACGGGAAGCGCCAGACGAATGTAGGCAATATAACGATTCGTCAAGGTCTTGCGTTCAACGAATTCAAGACGACGTTGTCCCAATTGATAGGTATACATTACGATGATCTAACGACTTACTTAGTCGACATCAGTAAATCGACGACTTCTACAGAGCCATTGAAGATTCTAATCACTGATAAAGTTAACTTCGATGTAATGATTAGACTGAGGAAGTGTTATTTCTTTGTGGTTTTGAATCGGCCAAGAACAGAGTGTCGGATGATTCCTGGTAACCAGAGTGATTTATTGCTTATGCATTTGAATCTTCTTGATTCGAACACGAACAATGCGCAAACGTCTGCTTATAGTTATGGCCCCAGTCCCTATTGTTACAATTACAGTGATGGGTTTAGCGATTTGGTGATGCACAGAGAAAACTACTTGAATATGATTTTGAATTCAGGATATGGATTCGTTTCTTCTTTAAATGTGAATCATCCGAAGATTGAAGAGGCAGAGAGCAGTTCGAATCGTCCCCTGTGTGAAGATTGCACAACAGCGCAAAAACAGGAGAAGACAGCTGAGTTTCATTTATGTGTTTACGATGAGGTTATTCATGGATTTTTCCGGTCACCGGCGGGATCCATTTCTCGTCGCCGGTAATAGAAAGGGAGGAACCAGGAAGGGAGTGCTCCGGTGTAACGTGGTATACAGTTAGGAATTCATTTCATTCTTTTGGTAATATCTTGAATTCTTGATAAAGACATGGTATATAAGAAATACGGAATACTAGTTTTCAAGCATGAGTTAAGATTACCAATTTTTTTAAAGATATATTTCATCATTCAAGAAAGGCTATGAAATTATAAAAACATTACAGAATAAATGTTAAAATAATTGAATTGACATGGATTTTATGACAATTTAGTTTTATTGAAATGTTGCACAATGGGCCATGGGGTTGTAAATTATAATAATCCTTATAATTGGTTGTAAGGGTTTCTAATTTTGATATGTAATCATAAATGGGCTTAGAGAGGGAAAAAAGTCTAGGAAAGGTCAAAGCCTAGTCAATGAAGCCTAGACAAGGCCTGGAATGGCCCAGGAGATCAGCCCGGTAAGGCCCGCGGACCTTGTTTAGGTGGGTTCTTCGGCTAAAAGCTTATGCTTTTTCATGTTTGTTTATTTATTTTGCCTCTTTCATTCGGGTAAGTGTCACTTTTGTCTGCTTGGTTCCTATACAAAGCTCGGTAAAGATCGGGCCGGGCCGGGCCGGGTCTTGTCTAAAAAGGCTCACGCATGATTTGCATCTGTGATATAAGATATGATCTAGATAGGTCCACGTTCCAACTTATTATCAACCATATTTTGTAAAGAGTTTGCCATTTGTTTATGACTACATTCTACATTTCTACTCGATATAAACATGATAAGCATGTTAAAGACTTTATGAGTTGGTTTGCCATTCTTTTAAGAATTAATTTCAAATTGTAAATTTTATAAAATTGTTTGTCATGATCAACTTTATATATTGGGTCTGAATTTGAATGAACATTCACGGAAAATAATGTATATCGGTTACGTGTAATGGTCAGAGTTAGGAAATTTTCTAAGACAAAAGTTTTTTTTTCCTATTTATAAAAAACGACGTATTTCTTTTCTTCTTCTTTCTTCTATGTTGAATATGTCTCTTTATTGTTTTCTTTCTTTTTTTTCTCTATCCTTTTTCTCTTTTGTTTTCCTTTTCAAGATATTGTGGGAACAAATTAGAAAAAATAAACCATTAAAACTACTTTTTGGGTGTCCATGTTGTCTGAGTGTGGGACAACCTTGGTTATGTGGATATGGATTGGGTTTTTGAAAGCATTGAAACTTTTTGACATTTGAGGGCTTGAAGCTTGGGTAAGTTGAATTAATTAAAGTCTATTTGGTGTTTTATACTTTAAGGAATCGGATACAGATGAGTTTCTATTCGGATATGGATAAGTTTATGTTTGCATCAAACTATCAAACGTGTAACGTGTTTGTACACATTTGCTGTATTGTTGATGCTTGTACTTCAGAAGTGGTAAGTTTGCACTTTTTAAGTTTGAAAGTAGCAAAATCTTGATCTTTGCAAATTGCAAGTCAAAATTCAAGAAGGAAGTCATTGGTGAATTTTTGGTAGATTATCTTGAAAAAAAAATGCAGTTGCTTATTTTGTTTTGCAATGAAGTTCACATATTAACTAGTAGTAAAATGTTAATGTATAGACAACATGAAGCAAAATGACACATTCGTAGTCCGTAGAGTCCATAAATCTTTTTTGTTATCGATGATTTAGTTAGTTAATATGCTCAAAATCGAACAATAATGATGTGACCTATATGATGATTCTAAGAGTTTGTTTGGATGGATGGAATATAATGACAAACGAATGAAAAAGAGGAGATAATGGACCATCTAGAGTAATGAGATGAACGATTGTCATTCCATTTTCATGCTTGCTGTTTGACATTTCCCTATTTAGTCATAGTAATTATCTTAATATTTAAGGCTTAATGTATATAATAAAAACAAAAATACTTAAAATGCTTTGAATTAATTAATTATAGGTAAATTTGTGGCTTAGAACAAAAGAACAAGTTAGAGCTCAAAGGAGTTGGAAATGACTGAAAAACGAAGACCGGTCAGAATTAAAAAAGGAGTACGACGCGCCCCCTTTAAAAGCGCACATTGCTTTTCCCACCTACATGTCAAAAAATTGGATTACGACATCAAGAAGATCGAGACCGACTCGGGTGCGGATTAGGCTTAGTGACGCGACATGAAAAAGTTTTGCGCCGCTACGACACTGAATCTATAAATATATGATTTTACAATCCTAAATCAGTGTGCAACCAAGAGAAACCTTTGGTACGGAGATAGAAGTCGTCCAAAACCCTTTTTGGTCGATTGAAGGTTGAAGAACATGATAGGAGTATCGTTTTGAATATCGAAACTTAGAAACGTTATTTAATCATTCGGTTTGTCTTAGATATAATGTTTAACATTACTATAATGATTGTTTTCTATTTTTTCAGTATATATTATGGGTAGGGTTGTAAACGAACTTAACGTTCAACGAACTGTTCGTGAACCGTTCGGCGGAAAGTTCGTTTATGTTCGTTTATTTAATAAACGAACGAACATAAACGCAAATTATCCTCATTTAGTTAAACGAACGAACATGAACAATGGTCTCGTTCGTTCAATTATGTTCGTGAACGCTCGTTTATATTGTTTGTTTACGTTCGTTTATGTTCGTTCATATAAGTTCATTTTATGTTTACATATGCTTAATTATGTTTGATTACTATTGGTGATATTCTAGAAACTAAAGATAACCATGATCCTGATAGATAACATAGTTATCAGTTGTATAGGATTTAAACTCCTGTTTATTAGCTTAGTTAGTTTCAGATATCTTGTACTCTGTTATATATATACACATGAATAATATCAATGATAATTAAGTGAAAATACATCTGATATGGTATCAGAGCGGGCACAACATTAACCCTAGCCGACCTCCCCTTTGTTTCTTCTCTGTTCTCGATTCTTTTCCAATGTCTACATCTGAAACTCTCATCTCTCTCAACACCATCTTACATCTTCTCACCATCAAACTCTCTTCCACAAACTACATGTTGTGGAAAAATCAAATCACCCCTTATTGTCCTATCAGGATCTCTTGGGACATATTGATGGGACAGCTCCTCCACCCGTTGCCACTGTTGAGGTTGAAGGCAAACCACCTTAACAAAACCCTCTGTATCCACCGTGGCAGAAGGCTGATCAACAAGCCTTGCTCATTATTCAATCATCTCTCTCTGAAGAAGCTATGGCAGAGACCATAGGCCTCAAATCCGCTCAAGCTATATGGAATGCTCTTGAAGCTGCATACAACCATGACTCCATGGAACGTATGTATACTCTTCGTGACTCCCTGCGACAATTACACAAATGTACCTCCACTGTTTCTGAATACGGTCGCAAGTTTAAAGGCATCTGTGACCAACTGGCGGCTATTGGGCAACCTATTGATGACCTGGACAAAAACCACTGGTTTTTGTGCGGATTGGGTTCTGGCTATGAGTCGTTTTCCACCACTCATCGTGCTCTCAAGCCAGCTCCTGCCTTTCGCACTCTTCTCTCATTAGCTGAAATTCATGAGTTATTTTCAAACTCAATTCACAACAATTCTACACCACCTGCTGTTGCTTTCCAGGCACAACAATATTGTGCTCCTCAATCCAATTCCCGTGGCTCAGCCTCCAATCGAGGTAATTTTTCAGGAGGACGTGGTAGGGTCAATTTCTCATGAGGACGGGGACGTGGCAGGCGCCCCCCCCCCCCACTGTCAACTCTGCAGAACCAATGGGCACTACGCCTCAGAGTGTCAAAACCTATCTACATATGCCAAACGTGAGTCTCCAATTGATGCTAACCTTGCTCAGTCCTTTCAGAATCAATGCACTTTAACTCAATCCCGCTCGGATTGGTACGTTGACTCCGGAGCATCGGCCCACGTGACCAATTCCACCAGTAATATTGACAGCTCCGCTCCTTATTCGGGTAAACACCAAGTTATTTTTGGGAATGGTAACTGTTTAAATATCTCTAGAATTGGTACCACTATTGTTTCAGATAATCTTAAGCTGTTGGATCTTCTTGTGGCTCCTCACCTTACTAAGAACCTTCTCTCCATTAGCAAACTAACCGATGACTCACTGGTTGACATATTGTTCTCTAATAAATCTTTTGCTGTTCAGAATCGCAGCACCAAGGACATAATAGCAAGGGAAAACGTGAGGATGGACTCTATGTGCTTGAGCAAGGAACCAAGGCTTTCGTTGCAACTTTAAAAAATAAATGCATTATTGCATCTTTTGAACTTTGGCATAGTAGATTAGGGCATGTAGCTTTTGACATTATTTCTTTATTACATAAAGTTGGTTCTTTGTCTATTTCATCTATCTTGCCCAAACCTGGTTTATGTACTTCGTGTCAATTATCCAAAAGCTCTCGATTACCTTTCAGTGACAACTTGAAACGAGCTGAGCATGTTTTAGACCTTATTCACTGTGATTTATGGGGTCCTGCACCCATTCCATCTACAGATGGCTATCTCTTCTATGTTATTTTTGTTGATGACCACTCACGTTTCACCTGGTTCTATCCACTCAAGAAAAAATCAGATTTCTCAGCCATACTATCTATCTTCATCACTTTTGTTCAAACTCAATTTAACTGCAAGATCAAAGAATTTCAAAGTGATGGAGGAACTGAGTTCATTAATAACCAAGTTCACCATATCTTTGAACTAATGGCACTCATCACCTTATTTCGTGTCCATATACACCTGCACAGAATGCACGTGCTGAAAGAAAACATAGACACATCACAGAAACTGGCCTAGCTATGTTATTTAATGCCCATGCTCCTACCTCTTAGTGGGTAGACTTGTTCAGTTCTGCGGTTTACATCATTAACCGGTTGCCCACCAAAGTTCTCTTCCATAAAAGTCCATTTGAGGTACTCTTTCATCAAGTACCAAATTATGAAGTTTTCAAGGTATTTGGTTGTCGTGTTTTCCCTTATCTAAGGGATTATGCATCTCATAAGCTTGCCCTACGAAGCAC